TTTTTTTGCTTCTTTTCAGTACAACTGAGCAATCTTTTTCTTTCTTCTTTTTTCCTTTTTACGAGCATCGGATCCTCAATGAAATGAATCATTTGAAATGATTATCTTTGGCATTGTGAAATATGCAAAACAGCATACCCAAAGATAAAAATATCGACGTTCGTAAGTTTTCTTTTTGTTAGTATATTAGCAAAGAACAAGCAAACTCACTTGAAAGTGCGACATACGATAGACAACTGGATCACAAGTATTGGATACCGAGAACTGACACTCCCAAGACTGTATTATAGTAGGGATAAAAATATGTACAGTAGAAAACTATGGAGTTACTATAATATTAATTTGTAAAAAGTAGATACGCATACGATTTCCCTATTCCGACGCGAGTACGCATATTTCTTTGTATGATGTTTTGAAAATTTCGCAATTAATGGGCGGCATTTTTTGTCTCAGCGATAAAATTATGATAAACGCCAGCGAAAGCTTTTCATTAACGTAATGCGGAATACGTAAGTAAAAAGCTGCTGGACTCAATCTATGTTTTGTCATACGAAATGGAGAAGCGGTTTTCAAAATCTTGCTAGGTACAGTTTGAATAATCACCAACGTCACTTACAATCTGACTTTCATTACGTTTTATCACGAGAACTGGATCTTTAGAAGTTTCAACGACCTTTTTTTCTATTTCCAGATCATACAATAGTGTGGCTTGTAATGCATTATACATACCAGTTCTAGCATATCGAGATGCCTTCGTCAATTCGTAGACACTGGCTGCCAACGTTAATATATCTGTAAATATAAAACAATAATTTAAATATGAATTTCTTTATTATTATTTAATAATGAAATATTCAATGTTTGTAAAGATTTTAAGAAAGATTAAAAAATTAACTATTGCAACTATTTCTAACTAATAAATATAATAAAAAAATTTTATAATTTGTAATTTATATATGTAGTTAAATATGCGGCTGAATATCCTATGAACATACCATTATCATTGTATACAAGAATACACGGTGGATTCTCTTTCTGGCGTTTAGTAGCATTTGCAATTTCCCGTTTACGACATTCTTGAACAAATTTTATTGCTTCTAACCAATACTCCATAGCTTTATGTACGCGTTGATTCATCGTGGTCCCTCGCAAACGTTCCATCTATATTTATAGATATAGATACTTACTGTTATTTAATATATTTTTATCAACAAGAAAAAATGGTATTATACTACCTTCGCGATCAAAGTTATAACGCGTGCATGCTCTCTCAAGTAGTCAATGATTAAACGGTCGACACGTGATGGATTTCCTTGAAGGCGAGGAATAGGTATATTATTTGCACTTGTCACTCTTTTGCCAGGGAAATGAGCAGCTAACCCAGCCTCACATTTCTTACGTTCTTTTTCTAATTGTTTAAACTGTTCGTAAGTTTGCTCTAGTCTGAAGTGCAATATACTTGAAGGTGCTGTACGTCTAGCTGCTCCACTTCCATTTCTAAGGCTCAAACCTCCACCATAAAGTACAGAAAATAGACGTGGGATCGGAAGTGGTACAGGAACTGGCATTACTGGTGGGAATACTCCAGATCTTACTGTACCAGGATTTGGTACTATTCCCGAATTAAAAAGTACATCAGCAGATGGAATACCAGCACTACTTTGTATTCTTGGCATGTGATGTCGTTGTTTCATAAGATAATTGAAAGTATCTTTGTTCATTGAAGACCCTGCGATTTGATTTGTCAAATGATTTACTGAAGGAAAAGCTATTTCTTTGGTAAGGTCAAATCCTTCCACCTTATACGTATTAGTACTGTTAGGCTGCTTCAAGTCCTGATAAGATGTGGAACTTTGTGGTAACATTTTTAAAGTCTCGCCGCTATTGGCAGTGTAATGTTGATAATTATGATATCCATATTTTGCAATTGACTGATGAGCGTTACGTGAACTTAAATTTTTTGGAAATCCAATTGGTGAATATGTCTTAGAGTCGATAGTCTTTGATTTTGGACTGATAATTTTCAGTAAATTATTATCAATTCTATAATCATTATTTGTAAGACAATTTTCGTTTGTATCTAAATTATTTATCGATGATGTGGTAAAGATGTGGTCGCTTACACTTGGATAATAATCGATTAGTTGCTTATATTCTTGGTCCACAGCTTGATTTAATTTGTAGCTACGAGCTTGTTGCTGCAAAAATTGGAGTTGCTCATTTGGTAGGGAGATATTTGCCACGCTTAATCTACTTGAATCATGTAAATCTTTATAATCATTAGCATTACTGCGTTGTATATTATTCCCAAAATTGTGCAAATTCGTATCAGCTGGAGAAAAATGTTGTAATGGAGAGTTCGAAAGAAAGCCAGAATCAATACTCAAATCAGTCATTGCTGAACTTGGTCTGTAACTTTGATTATTGGCAGTCATGCTGTATAATTCATGCATAGAAGGTGTCAGATTATTATATGTATTAGCAGTTCCATTTTGTCTAATATTATTGTGATACTCCAATTCATTTAGAGTAATTGGGTCAGGTGAATCTAGAGCTAATGTTAGAGCCATATTGAAATTAAGATCTGGGTTTGTACAATTTTGTATTCGTTGATAATTTCCAAATAGATCTGATGTGCAACCTGGTGTTGACAAATTCTCTGTCCAGTTAGACTGTTTACTCACATTTGTCTCATTTGTAGTTGTTAATAAATCATTGCACAAAGGCATAGTATTTCCGCTAACACAATAATTTTCACTATTTGGACGTAATGCATATGACTGTGAATCAGATGGATACGTATTTGGATATGCACCAACCCCGTTGTTATATAAATTTGCTTGATCTGGTACTTGTCCTACACATGTATTGAGGCTCAATGTTTTGAGTTCTCCACAGAGATTGTTATAATTACACTCGAGTTTAACATTACTAGAAATGTTATTTTGTAATTTATTAAATGTTGAATGCACGTTGAAGCGATCCATAGTAAAATTAGGATCTGTATTATTTTCCATTTTGTTTTCCATGTTACGGGGCTGAGTATCTGAATAATATTGAATATTGCCATAACTAATATTGTGAGCACTGTCACCAACAATTGAATCATCATCAAGAATTTTTGATACTAGATCATTGACCATAGGATTATTTAAATCCTGACTATCCTCATCTTCTACATTCATCTATATAAATAAATAATTAAAAAAGAATTAGTATCATAATGTAATTCTTCTTCTTTATTATTTTTAAGAAACCTCTGGATCATATTCAATAGATCATATTAAAATAAATTATATAAAGTATCTTATTCTGAATTAGAACTTTCTACTTTCATAGCCATAAAATATCAAAGTAAGAATATTTCTTAGTATTTCATAGATTTCTTAATGTAATTCTTATATTTAATTAATAAAATTTAGTTAAGTTGTTTTGTGAAATATGTCATATTCGAAAGAATGAAAATATCTAATTCAAAAAATAAATATATCTTTAATTTTTTTATAAAAGTAATTATTTTAAAATATTATTTAAGCATATAAGTACATTATTTAAGCATATAAGTCAGTTATTAAAAAATATATTATGCATTGTAGATTGATATGATGTAAGTATTTAAAACAAAGTATCATAGTTATATATATATTATATACACATATATATACATATAATATTTTACAATATCTTAAATGTGATATTAGTTACATGTTTATTTCCTTTAATTTAATATATAAAACAATTTTTTCATAGAACTGTATTAAATAATAAAATCTTTAAGTTAAGATAGTCTTGTTATCTTTAAGTTTCTTACATTTTTTGGTGTATTACATTCCACTAAGTCATAGTTCCAATAATTATATTCTGTATTACATCTGTCAGCTGAATAATTGTTTTGTGGTTCCAACATGTTGATGTTATGGTCAACCACATTATTCTATAAAAAAAAAGTAATTAATTTTGCATTTGACTTAAAACTATTTCAATTCTTTATTATGTTACAATAACATGATACGAATAGTACATGAAACTTTGTTCCTTTATTAACTTCCTATAATCCAATAACTATTATATGTATTAATATGTTAAAAGACAACTATCAAAGTATATTAAGTAGATTCTATACAGAGACAATTATCAAAATATATTAAGTAGATTCTATATACGATTATTATGAAATTAACTACAAATTTATCAGAATAAATTTATCTTTTTCACTTATGACTTCATTTCAAAAGCAACAATTTTGAATTTAAATCTATTATGAGCCTAATTACGCATCGAGAACGCACTAAAAGCGAATTATTTCTGTCAAATAAATTACTAAATATCTGTAATCGAAATCATGATCTTCGCATCGTATATTAAACGTTTCTTTCTCTCGTTAACTAAATACGGTATTTTAAATACAAAAACGATGCCCTTTAATGCACGTTATGATGAAACTATTGCTTTGTACTTTACAGTGGAGGAAAATGAACGTCACTTTTTCAGAAATGAAGTCGGGAGCCACGTTTGCTTACCTTGCTAACAGAGAAACCATTGTTGCTGATGATTGTAGCCAAATTGTGCACTTCGGACAGAGCCATTTGTTAAAGATCACTGAGAATCACCTCCACTCCTTGCCATCACCCTTTCTCTTGTGCGGCTGCCTTCCAGCAGTATGCACACCCACACCAACCTATGGTTTCTTTAAACGTAGCTAGCTAGCATCTCACAATGCACATTAACGATACTACTATGAGAGAACAGAATATAGATGGAACTATGGTTATTATACTATATACATATGCCATGTATGCGTATACGCTATGCATATGATTTTATAATCGAGTACGTTAGATAAGAGTGTTAAATATCGTGGAAAAATTTTTAGTTCAACTTTCTTAACTTTTTACATCTATTAGTTAATGAAATGCAGGTTCTGAAATGTTCCAGAAATATAGCGAATGAAAGATATCTTTCCCCTAGAAAAGTGTATGTTATTACTAAACTTCCTGCGCGCGTGCGCAAACGAAGAAGTATTCAAATATATAATACCGCAAATCGTAAAACACAAACATATTTTTCAATAACGAAGAAAAAGAAATCTAAATAAAGGCTAAATCTTTATATCATTTTATCTCAATGTATTAAATAAAACTATATTCGGTATAAAATTCATTACAATTCAATATATACAAATTATACTTTATATGTGCATTTTATTGCATACAATTAATACAATTGTTCTAACATTAATTATATTATAAAATATGAAATAAATAATACGAAATTTAATAAGAAAGAAATATAAATTGTATATAAGAGAAATATAAATTGTAAATTTCTTTTAATATGCTACTGGATCAGTTTGTACAGTTTTACTTTCTACTTCAGTTTCTTTATTTAAGATGCAATACTTATTCGCAATATTAACTATTTCTCGTAACGTAGTATTTTCTTCTTTTAAACTGCTATATACTTCTTTTTCTTTCATCTCATTTTCTTCGTCCAAAGCAACGGCAGTTTTCATTACTGCTGCCATTTCATTAATCTTTTCTGCTTGATTAGTGATTATCTGTAGCGATTATTTTATAAAATACAATAGTATTAGTAATTATTTCATAAATGAACCATTCTTAATTATTAATAAGCAATTATTAATAAATGATAAAATTTCAAGAGAATTATTGAATTTATATTATATATATATATATATGTATGTATAGCTTTTGATATAATAAATTTTAACTATGGCATTAAAATGTAACTTATTATATATATAAGACGGAATACTTAATTAAATGAGAACATCTAAATATCTCTGCTATTTCTAAAGATATAGATATAGAAACTTTGTTAATATAAAATAAAACTTGTTCAGTACTGAGGTGGCCATAATAATAAGGTGGCAGTAATAATTTTTTTGTAAGTGGTTTCGAAGATTTCAAAATCCACCTTTTTTAAGTGAAATATTTTCTTTTATTTATGAATCCATATAGCTCAATATTATCTATAAAAAGTTAACGTGGTACATTATAATTATATACGTCAAAAAACTAGGAAATATTTTAATTTTAATCCTGTAAAATCTATTGCATCAGAGATAAAGAAAGACAAGGACAATATTCCTATATTCATACTGTCCATGTCTTTCATGCATAGATTTTATAAATATTTATAAAGTTAAATATCTCTAAACTAACAGTTTTTTAACATACATAAGTTAATACCTTTTTATAGAGAATATTAGTGCATTAAAAAATATATTATTGTATTTAAAAAAATGAACGTGACCTTGAAATCTTTAAAACCTCTTCATCTACAGAGAAATCATTACTATTATATTTATGCTCCTTTAAATTATAATTATATCAAATAACTTTTATTGACAAAGTTTATCCATATCTCCAAAAACTATTAGAAATATTTAAGTGTTCTCATATAAGTATTCCACTCTGTATAGTAAAAAACATTCATTTTAGTAAAATAATGTAACATTTAATTGTATGTATAATTAAAAATGTTTATGCTTACATTAGCATATTTTGCATTATGTAATGAAGAAAGATCTGTTTTACAAAGACGTAATAAAGATGCTGTTTGTTGTCTATATTTAGACATAATTAATTCAAGAGCATGATGATGATCCTCCAGTGCCTTTTTTAATTCCTTATTTTCAGCTTGCAATTCTTGCAAGTGTTTGATTTCTCTCTGTATTCCTGAGATTAATTGTACATGTGGTCTTTGTTTTGCTTCAGTATTTAAAATCTCTACTTCTTCCTGATACTATAAATGAATAATAAACATTATTATAATGAACTTCAAATAGTTTTGTAACAAAGAATTGTATTAACAATCTAAAATAGTTTGTTATCTCATTATATTTTGTTTCTATTATATTATATATATATTTCTTTTTGTTAAACAATACTACACTGTACTATACTATATAAATAAATTGTTTACCTGCTTCATATTAGCAATTTGACTACAAACTGATTCTATTTCGCTTATTAAATTATCTGCTGTATTTTCGTGATCTGATATTCTAATCACTAATTTTTTAGCATCCAGTATGATTTGTTGAAAAGTTAATGACATCTGTAAATGTATGTAAGTACACATAAATAAAAGCTTTTAATAAATTAGTTACCAAAATATTATTTTGTTTTGTTAAATATACATATATATTTATTAAATATTATTTTGTTATTATATTATATATATAATATTGTAATGTATATAGATGTATTATACATATATATATATAATATACATATATATCTTCTCTTTCTACATTATATTGTTACAGAAATATGTTAATTAAAATTTATATGAATATAACGGCTCTATTGCCATGTTATAGATTATTATCAATTAATACAAATTATTTGTAAACAAGATCATGTTTTCTTTTAATATTTTATGTAAATATAATGCTAAAATAATTTAAAGGGAAGGTACGTAAAATAATTTTCATAAAAATTAACATACAATGCTTGCACATAACCTATAGATGATGATTTAATTGTATAACTTTAATATCATACGTAACGTTTTTAATTACTATTTTATAGATATATTTATAAAAACTTTTGCTTATAAACTGTTAAAAATTGTTATTAAATAGGTTATACTTACATTCAAGCTATTAAACATACATATATTTTATAATAATTACAAAAAATATATATATTTTTCCACTCACCTCTTAACGATGATAGACTTTATCCTATAAATTTGATCAAATTTTTTATTTATTAATTCATCCAGTTTTGTGTAATGAAAAAATAAGATCAATGCCACATGAAAATATCTTGTTCCTTAGTTGTATCGCAAGTTTGTTTATTTTCAATCACTTCCATAAGATCATCTGTCTACTAATCGCTAACTGATTATAAAAATTTCTTACGTGTTATAATTTCTTCCATATAAAATTAACTACATAACTTATAAGTTTTTTTTATCATCATAACTTTTTTCTAACTTTTTTATCGATCACTTTTATCTTTTTTTAATGAGATATAAATAATATATACATATGTATTAAAAATATTTTTTATTAAAAGTTTATTGTTTAAAACAATGAGAAAGATATTTTACAATTCTTAGTTTTTGTTTCTATGTAACTATTGTAAATTATTGTAAATAATTCTATTATTTCGATTATATATAACATATTCTTTCTTTAAATATTAATATTCATTGTTAATAGTTATTTGTTATTTTCTTAAATTCAGTTATTTTTTAATAATCTACCACTTACTTTTTAACAATCTACTACTTATATTAAAAATTTTATAATTAAACTTTTTATTTTTTAAATTTATATATAATAAGTTGTACACATCAAATTTTTAAGTTACTTAATTATTTTGATTTAACCTTTTAATTTAAATATTACAAATATAAGGGTTAATTTAAATATTACAAATATAAAGGTACGTTATACTTAAATATATATTTATATTTTTATTGATATTAAAAGTATTTTTCATGTAGAAAATGTTCATAATAATTATTAATAAATATTGTTAATAACAAAAGAAAGGGTGTAAAGTCTATAAATGATTTTAAATATTTGAATTAAATATTTTGAAAAGAAATACTAATAAGTATACACATAACATTTTCTATATTTTGTTAACTTCAAAAATTTTTTAAATGGTAATAATATTTTTGAACTGTACTATTACTGTTTTATTTTTTGCAGTATATGATGTATATGATATGATGCAAATTTTTTTATAAAAAAAAATATACAATAAAAGTATGGAAATAATATTTTCAAAAAATCTGTTTTAATGGGGAAAAAAATTAAAAAATGCTTTCTTATGTATTATGTATTATAGTTAGTATAAATACTGTTATTTTAAATAATACATATGTAAAAAATATTATGTGAAATTGTTTTCATTTATCAAGCACTGTTTTAAACCAAAAAGTGAATAAAAACTGATGTATTCATATATTCAATAAAAATAGTCACAACTTTACTTTAGATTTAAATTAAACATTAATTATATATTATAAATATGCAATTGTCAGTAAATTTAGTTTATTTCATATTATAAATTATCTATTTCCATTGCTGGATTATCATAAGATCTCTTTGATTCCTCGTTACTTTCTTCAGCCCAACTTTGTTTTTCACCAGATGCATATAAACCGTATACTATAGCTCCAATCAAATAAACTGCCCCAGCAATAATGAAAACTATCCTCCATTCTGCGGCACTCTATAAAATACATTCCAACTTCATTAAATCTGATTTTTAAATATTCAGTAATTATTAATTATTAATTAATATCTAAAGTTGTAGTTAAATATAATTTAACGTAATGTTATAGAATTTTTAAATATCAATACTATAATTACATTTCATTGAAAATATATATGTTATAACTGAAACTTACTTTGTTCTGGACAATATATCCAGTAATAAGAGGACTTATAATTCCAGGTAAAGTAGCCACAGTATTTCCTATTCCCATAAGCACACTTGCATGCTTAGGAGCAATATCCAAATGATTTACTCTATATAAAAAATATTTATGTAATATATTTATAAAGTTATACAGGGTGTAGCACGTAACTGTCACCACGATTTTTCAGGCACTTCTGATTGTGTGACAAAAAATGTTTTGAACAAAAATTAATCAGTTTCTAGTTGGCTATAAGGTACAATATAAAAAATTC